TTTGATGCATTGTTTGAATTAAAAAATAACACATTTTTTACGATTTATAACTTCATAGAAGGACCGAGGTTTGATGAAGAGAGATGTGATGAAGGACACATACTTATTATACACACCATACATGCATTTCCAAGATGTTTCCCTCTCCCCTCTCTCGTGATACTGTCCTGTATGTGCAGCACAATACATAATTGGAAACTTCTGCTCCATCTAATCTCAACCTCTCTTCCCGTCTTTCTCCGTGGCCCCCCGGTGATGTCTCTGCATCTCTTGTTGCTGAGGAGCCTCTACCCTCTCCAAAGATGATCGCCCCTCTATTTTCTTCTGAGCGGTGAGACAAAAGCATAAGAGGCTCCACTCAGAGCAGCCGATAAAGAACAAGGGCGGTTAAGCTTTGTCAACACGGGGACACAAAACTCTGAGAGATAAAACAGAATGGAGAAAACATAAAGCCGAGGCCGTGGCTATTATTTGCCATTCCTGGGAGACTCAGCGCCATGAAACTCAGAGAAATTAAATATAAAAAGGAAGCTGGAAAAGCAACACGGGTTCACACAGGTAAAGAAGGACAAAGCAATTTTCTGAGAGTATGAAACATCAGCTCACAGTCCATCCAAGATACAGAAACTCCTGAAGCTTCAATTGTTTCCCCCTTTAAAGGTTGGTGGCCTGAAATCCCACTCCTTAACACCATGCTGTGTTTGCACTTTCTGTGCTACCCACACACTCCGTCCTGGAGTTGCTGCTATTCACCCTGCCATTTAAGAGGTATTGTGGCCTCCCGAGGGAGGGAGGTGTAGAGGAAAGCCTGTCGGCATGGAGCAGGAGAAGGTTTATAGACACCAGTGTCGGTTTATGCGACACCTCGTTCCCACGTTCATCCACGATTACCCCTCCGCCTCATTTGGAAGTGTTGTGAAAGCTGTGTGGACGGATGAAAGCAGATTGGGTGACATTTGCATAATTTTATTTTTGCTAACATTAAATATAATTAGGCTGGTCTCGTACAGCATTCGTAGCAATACCTAAGCAATATCATGTGTTGTAATTTGTAGATAGCCCACGTTATCTTGACGGAGGACATATAGAGACCTCTAAATCACATTTTAACCCGAACGACTATCTATTCCTAAACCTACGTGATTTTGATTTTTAACTGAGTTTCCTGTAAAGACGGAAGATTATTTTGAAAAGACCGTATGCATGTAACGAGAGGAAATTGACACATTTTCTATGTTTTTCTTTGAAAAATGCACAAATAATTTAAATATTACTTTTCGTAGGATATCATACGAAGAGTTGTGTGAGGATATCTTGAATATTTAAAGAGCTAACCGACATAAGTAGCATTGAGAAAATAAGTTAGTGAGGGCTAGTTCATTTGTCCGTCCGAAAAATGCAGATAGTCCGATGCTCCCGTCTGAGACACTAATAAAGTCCTCTGCTGAGTTGAAAACTTGGAGTTCTTCTGAGTAAAAACCTGAACACAACATATATCAACATAACTCTCGGGTCCCCTGTTAGACTTCTACTCTGGTAACACTTTGCACTAGGTGCTATAACACAGGATATTGAAAAACTTTAGCAACAGAAGAACTCCAGCAACAGTGTGAGACAAACTTAATTATGAAACAAGTTTTCAGACCCGTGGGGCTAACAGTCTTTCATTATTAGAAGTGTTGTTGGAGCTTTTATCCTTCCAGATTGCTTCCCTTTGTAATGCACCTTGCAAGTGTGATGTTGTGCCAGAACACCATACGTGTTTTACTGTAGTCAGAAAAACTTAAAGAGTAACTAAACCCCAAAACTTCTTTGGCTGAAAACCAATATATATGGATGGATTTGGGTCCAAATCTTGACATTTTAGTGCAAAGCATTTAATTATTTGTATAAAGCTAAATGCTAGCATACATATACCAGCCTGTTACTCTTTCAATAAGCTTATGCTTATAGCGCTAATAGCATAAGCTAATTATAAAGGTTAATGGCTATCATGAATGGTCATTTTAAAAAGTCTGGCATGTTAAAGTTATGTTGACAAAGTCCAGCAGATAAAAGCATGTGGTCTTTTTTTGATGTTGTGTAGCTGTAGCATTAAAACATGGTGGAATTAGCAAGCTAGCTAACTAGCCAGCACACTAAATCAGTATTTAACATCTTGATGCTTCATCCACACACGTCACAGTGTAGGAAAGCACATTGTCATCGCAAGATAGAGTCACCAGACCACATGATCTGATCACTACAGCATGCGCTTTGATAAGCTCTGACCTTCGACCAACTGTTCCACTGCAATACCTCCAGGTCTCCTGGCGCTCAATATAGTGATATCTCTGTGAAAAGCCAATACATGCCGAGATGGGGGTGGGGGGATCTGAACCAAATCCAGCAGATGCTGAAAATACTGAAATTATTACAGAGAAGCCAAATCGGTCAATATCTGTCAGAATTGGCGTTGATGGATAGTTTCACACAAGGAGCTCGATTGGTCAGAGATGCATTCCAGCTGTGTGAATTATTCCCATGAAGCTATAGCGGTGGTGTTATTCCTGGTTTCCTTGGGAAGAGGTTAGTTATCCGTCTTTCTGCTGGAAAGAAAATGTTAAAGCCATCATGAGTTGTTTGGTGAAGCCCATACCCGCCTGCACAGCTTCCTGCGCTACTGTTATAATGACGAACACTCTCCAAGGTTGCTTTTTTGCTAGAATTAGTTTGTGTTTTGTAACACCAATTAATTTGAGATGATTTGCAGCAGAGTTAGGTATTTAATTATCTCCTCTACATGAGTGGGAAAAATACTAAATTAATAATTTATTGAAGCCGCAAAAAAAACATTTGATATTTTGTGTATTTCTGAATAATTGATGAAATACCGAAAATATAATTTGAGAAATCATTTAATAATCAACTTTTTAATTTGATTGAAATAAATTAGAGGCTCCACCAGGTGTCTAAACAGTTTATTTATAAGTGTTTTAGGTATTTGAGTGTGTGTGTGTGTGTGTGTGTGTGTGTGTGTGTGTGTGTGTGTGTGTGTGTGTGTTAGATTGAAATTAAATACAGCATATTACATCCCTTTTAACACAGAGTTCATACCTGAAGATCTGCCTGTCTGAATACAAATATTGATATTTTATAAGCATTGGTCACAAAAAGGAAAAATTATACTTTTATGTGAGTTTTGCTCTTCTTATTTTTTAGGAACCTCACCTGAAGGATCGTGATCACTTGAGACATTTCATATGAAAGTTAGATCAAAAGGTTCGTTAAGTCTTTTACTAATTGTTTCAATACTTTTTGTGATAGACTCAACCTAATTTATTTTGGTCTAATTCATGTTCAGTGCAGTTTTCATAAAACTTAGAATTTTCTTAAACCTGCAAAAGAATCCAAGATTTTCCTTTTGAAGCTTTTACTGCAAAATCAGGCTCAGAGCGAATCACTCACATCGTTTCCGTGTGAAACATCTTCCCACCACCTCTGGTACCTTCTGAATGGTTTAACGTCAAAATAAAATAATACAAAATTGTCCATTGACAAAACGCCCGCTAGCTGGAAGATAACTCTGTTTATGGCGTTCAAAAGTAGAGACTCTTTGTGACAAAACAGGTAATACAAGTGAGAAACTTTGTCTGGGTGTGTATCACTTGTTGGATTGATTCTTTTCTTATGTCATGCTGCAGTTTGAAGAGCAGCAGAATGATTTCCGAGAGATTTGTTGGTTTCTGACCGTGCAATATGTTTCAGTGTAGGTCTGTAGCACATCGGATTAATTCTGCTGCATGAACAGCCTGTGGCAGGCTGGCAGCCATTCATCTAAAGGAGACTAGTCAAAGATATGCGTGTCCGTCTTTCTTTCTCTCGGCTTCCATCTGTCTTGTCCCTCTCTGCATGTTTACCAACTTTAAAAAGACACACATGCTACGATAAACTTCTTTTTTTATACTTTTAGCTGTCCAGAAAATCCATCTCAATGGTTTTGTGTGACATTAAAGGTTCACACACAGGCCCAGGTTTTCTCCCTTTGGTGTTTCTGAGAGAGTGCAAGTGGGTTCCACTTCCCACCACACGTTGGTGCAAAGGAAGTATAAATGTGTTTGGCTCAAATTCCCTTTTATCATGCTGACATGTTATTTATTTAAGAAAAGCTGTTGAAACCATTTTTCATTTGCTCAGGCAACAATCCGACAGGGAGTCAGTTCTTGTCTCTCTCACAGTGTGTGTGGTACCGTTCAGTTAGTTAAAGGACACGGAGCAGAGACTCACCGCTTCCCCTCATTAGATATGAGTGTGTGCGTACTGCCTCCTTGTGGTGAAGTCACTTGTTATTCCTTCCAGCAGTCCTGATGTACACCCTTTTCCACAGAGGACATTTGAACACGTCGCAGAAGGAAAGGCACAGGTGTAGCTAATGAAGTTAACAGATGGCTGACTGGGACACTTGATTGTAAAGGAGCCCTCGTTAGTGTCGTCAGCAACACCTGTGTTTTTCATAGTCCAGTCAAAATGCCGGCTGGGAGAAAGGACACAGTGTTCGTCAGTTCATCTTAACTACTACTACATCAAATAAAAAACATTATCGCAACTCGTCGCTCTGCAGCAGTTGCTTTTTTATGTAGTTTCACCACTAAAGATAAAAAGAGAAACTGCATCTAATGTAGACAGTGTAGTCTTTTGCAGACATAGTATGCATCAATTGCTGCTAAATGTAGATGTCTTTAGTATATAAATATATAACTTCTATTTACAGGTTTTCAGCTCGGTCTGCGACTGCTGTAATTAAATTAAACAACCTGTGCGCCCATTAGGATCACAGGAGATCAAAGTAACCGTCTAGTCAGTGATGCCAACGCAGTTAAGCTGAAAATTTACTGCATGAAACAGCCCGATAACAGAAGGCTGTGATGTAAAACACTCTTCATCCGACTCAGAAGAAGAGTACCATAGATGAATCACTAGAGTGGGTCAAACATGAAGGCAACAAAATATAACGGGTAAGACTCTGTTCACAATTTGTGCTTTATTGACAAAAAAAAAAAGATTGTACAGTTTTCAACTGTTGATTGCAAGAGCAGTGGTGATCCACCATCTTTACATAAAGCTCCTCCCCTCATACTCTAATATGACTGAACATCACAGTGCAAATCCCATCAAACCAACCACTGGAACTTCTATAGATGGACAAGACAGCCGACAAACAACTGGCAGAAGGCGACGAGAGATTAATAACAAAATATGCGGATTCATGTGGCTGTTACGGCATTTCGATTGAAGGCATGAGACGGCGACGGACAGAAACACGTGAGGTTGTGATGACTAGGAAGCGGTCTGTTCTTCGTGTTTGTGGTCAGGCCACACAGAGCGTGTAAGATTTCTGATTAACAGATATAAGTCCACCAAACTGACAGGAAGTAGCTACAAATGAAAAGTTGTGTGTGAGCATGAGGGAACCACAAGGAAGACCATAAAGGATTGATAGACTTCACCGAAGTCATAAAAAACAGGACTTCTGCATAGCAAAATCTGGGGGGGTAGAAGTACAAGCGGTACCGTAGACGAGTAAAACATAAACCGATGAACACGGGGGAAGACTTCTCCCACATTATATTAGTACATTCTAACCTGAACAGTGTTCAGTGCCTGTCTTCATTTAAATGGCTTCAGCCCATGGAGCCTCCTTAACTGTATGTGCAGCTTAACTTCCCCACATGTAACTGAGACTTCACTTTCCTCATAGAAGGTCAAATCTAAATGAAAAAGGCTTTTATACACTTGTTGCAAAGGTGCGCCAGGAAGCAGTTAAACAGGTGAAAAAGTCATTTGAACTGCATTTTATGTGATTTCTTTCTTTGTGAGATAAAACAAATGAAACACATATATTTTGAACTGGTGCATTTAAATACATTTTCCCAATGTTTAGTTTTTTGTCATTTTACAGTACTTCACTTCTTACTGTATAAGATCGATGACAAATGGACCATTTCCACATGAGCGCTGGAGAGTTGTTGGGAATGACTGCATATATATGCATCAGATCCTGCAGGATTACTAGCTTTGTTTGTATACAAACATATGCATGATAACAAGTGCTTTGAAAAGAAAATGCTTTGTGTGTTAATTCATATCTTGGCTAACTGCTGGGAGAGAAACCTAGAACTAATCTTGGGGTAAATAATGAACTGTAATAATTAAGCACTATATTTTGACCCATTAGCAAGACTAAAACACTCTAAAAAAAGACAAATATAAAGACCCCTAATAAACCAAAATATGAAATCCCAAGAAGTCAAATAATATAACAAATAAGAAAAATAGATAAAGTAAAAATCTCTCTATGCAGACAACAGAATTCTATCCCGAAGACATAAGTCTCAGAAAGCATCAGTGAGGCTCCGGGACAAAGCGCAGCGTCTCAACAACAGGACTGGCCGAACACAAAGGCCAGCTGGCTCCGAGCAGGTCTGTGCAGGTCTGGTTCATCAGAACACGTAGTCCCGGGTCATCTTGAGGGACGGCATGGCCTCGTCCACGTTCTGGTCCAGGCGGTGATACTCCACGGTGTTGCGGGAACACAGACCGTCCTTCCAGCGCCGGCTCTGAGCCAGGAGGAAGATCTGAGGAAGACGAGACATGCGGATAGAGATCAAATTAATCCGATAGATGTACAAGTGCTGATCAAGTGAAACTGTTTCTGGACAGGCTAGCAGAAAAAGATGAAAGACTACATGATTGGAATCCTTACTTTAGCTGTAAAATCCATATTAACACGGGGTCAGCATAATGTAGAATATGAAACCCGTCTCTACTGATTTGACAGCGAGAACTTCCTCTAGGATGAAGCAAAGATGTCACACTGTTGTGCTACATACGAGCACATATTCCACAATATGCGACGCTTTGTTTGTAACTAGTTAAAGAATGCAGTGCTGAGATCTGAGGATATCGACCGTTTTTGTTACACTGTAAAGATCTAACTTTTCTATTACATAAACATTTAGATGAAATCATGCAGGTTCACGAGAAAGTCCTCTCAACTCTACACGGCTCAGGGAAATCCTCATTGTTTCACTCCAAAATGTAGAGTTTTGTACATTTAAAAAACTGAATGTTTACGATAAATAGAGCTGCGAGAGGTGGAACGATTGATTGACTAGTTGTCAACCATTAATCAGCACTTATTTGGGTAATTAATTCATCGGTTTGAGTAACAGTCAAAATACTATGATTACAGCTTCTTAAATGTAGATATCTTGGGGTTCCTTTACTCCGCTCTGGACTAAAAAGAGACATTTGAGGACGCCATTTTGGGGAACACTGACTGACATTTTACAGATTAAACAATCGATCCATTTAAAAAAGATTAATCAACAATGAAAATAATGGTTAGTTTGCAGCCCTACATGAAGGTATATATTTCAGACACTGATTTTGCATTCAAAGTGTAATTCAAATACATTACTGTGTCTGAACAGGTTACAGATTGTTTGGGGTAAAAATTCACTCAAAGTACAGCATGCAGTGTTTTACAGGACTGTGTGATGGTTCTTTATTTTTTATCCATTAACCTGATTCTTCATCTAGTACATGGACCAAAGGTGAAATCTCAGGCTCTGGATGTAAGAATGCCTAATTCTCTTTCAAAAACAATTGAACTTATAACAATATATAATAAAAGACAACCAGCAAAACCTCAGATTTAAGAAGTTCTTGTCAAAACTGTTGGCAGCAGATGGTAACGGCTGAAGTACCATCAGCCCCGTGCAAACCAGACTCATGCTGCATCATCATCATCTCTGGCCTCTTACATCCTGAGCAGTTCATGCCGACACTCACCTTCCTCTTGTTGTGATAGGTGATGTAAACAATGGCCACCAGGAAAGCCAGGATGACCAGATGGAAGAAGAAGTGGGAGTCCTCATCCTCCGTGTTGTAGCTGTCCGCTCCCTTGTAACGGGTGTCCTCCATCCCATCCGGTTGCAGCCTGCTCACACTCTGGTCTTTGACGTCGATGTCGTCTTCGTCATCTTCGTCGTCGTCGTTGTTTTCAAAGATGTCGTTGTCCTCGTAGGCAGTGTCATCGGCATCATCTGTGTAATCATCCAGACTGATGTGAGGTAAAGGTCCACTGTGAGTCTGCCTGTGTGGATCATTATCCTGCCCTGTGGATGGGTTCAGAACAGTGGAGGGTTTGGACTCATATTCCTCTGTCTCCTCCGTTACAGGTCTGGATGGTTCAGGGACTTTGAAAGGGGTGGCGGGAACTTCTGGACTAGAAGCTGGAGGGGCTTCAGGAGCATCTTTTGTCACAACCTTGTCTGTGACCGCAGCAGCAGCCTTGTCTGGGACCGCAGCAGCAGCCTTGCCTGGGACCGCAGCAGCAGCCTTGCCTGGGACCGCAGCAGCAGCCTTGCCTGGGACCGCAGCAGCAGCCTTGCCTGGGACCGCAACAGCAGCCTTGCCTGGGACCGCAACAGCAGCCTTGCCTGGGACCGCAGCAGCAGCCTTGCCTGGGACCGCAGCAGCAGCCTTGCCTGGGACATCTGCAGAAGCCTTGCCTGGGACATCTGCAGAAGCCTTGCCTGGGACATCTGCAGAAACCTTGCCTGGGACATCTGCAGAAACCTTGCCTGGGACATCTGCAGAAACCTTGCCTGGGACATCTGCAGAAACCTTGCCTGGGTCCTCATCTGCTATTGCGTCCCCATTTTTGACGGGTCCTTGCTGCATTGTCTTATCAGAGGAGTTAATGACGGTGCCTGGATTTGTTTTATTGAGCACTTCAGACGTTTTTGGCCCAGTGGCTGTTCCGGTGATGTCTGAAGGAGCCTGTGCGTCAGAGGAGTCATCGCCAGCAGATATCGCAGGCTTCTTGGGATCTGTTAAAGTCGTTGAAATCTGCTGAGCTGGCGGAGGCTGTGAGCCACCTGCTTTCTTGTTTGCAGTGGTAACATTTTGAGATGCGATTCCCCCTCGATTCTCTTGGATTGGTGCCGTCAGGTGAGAGGGAAAAACAATGCAAGACAATATATATTATTAGGTTGATGAAACACTCCTGAAAACACTTCAAAATAACAATTTGAAACATTTGCATGAAAACAAAATATGTATTTTCAATCAGGGAGGGGTTCTTTACTTTCCAAGCCTACCTGCTAATATAATATATAATGTGCAATGAGTCCAAATTCAAATCTGAATTTTAAGTTTCACCCATCTCAAGAACAACACTTTCATCTAAAGTGACATACTGACATTACAGGTAATTAATGTTCTTCAACTTACAACTGAAAGGAGTCTGTGGTACAACCACACCATGTGAACCTCCTACTAAGAGGCAGTTCATCCTCCAGCTGCCACAGGAAAACTGGAAAGTTGACTTTGATTTGTAGTAAACAGCAGCTTGTTTTGAGTGTAACAACATGTAAACTTGCCCTAACCTCATGACCAACTTCTCCCCTTTAAAACACAAAAAAAACATTACATTTCGGTCTCAAAAGTAAAAGAAGTACTTTAGATTTATTTAAGAACCCCGACAGTTTCTTACTGCACCTTTAAATGAGAGCTGAACTCATGCATCTGGCCTGCATTGCTGAATCAATGACACCATTTAACCAACAAGTGTGTGAACATTATTTCCATCCTGTGTGACTAAGGAGGCGTTGCTTAGGAAAGGACGGGAGGAGAACACTTGGGACTTGAAGCACGGGGTAAGACGTCCCCAAGAGAAGAAAGGAACTATTCATACACATGGGCCACGGGCAGCATAAATAACCACGTAACAGGAGATCTTTGTGGCAGCGACTGGTATAGGCAAAACAGCATGTAGGAAAGTCAGCCTTTAAGACTTAACAAAAGTCTTATTATTTAAGTATTCTTATATTTCCCAAAAATAAATAAATTACACATCTCATCAATAAGTACTTGGGGATCTTCCTCCACTCTTGGATCAGCTTTATTCACATTAATCCCATATGATGCATGGATGACGCCCAAGAGTTAGAGATAAGTACAGAACATTAATGATGTGTCACGATCTGATTTCATGAGCCAATAGAGTTCATGCAACTTACAATACTTCAAAGATGTTAAGCCAACAAATGTTGCAATCAGATACAGATGTGAATTCCAGGCCCACAAAGTCAAAATGAAACAAATCGCTCCATTTGTAATATCAGATCTCAAGACTTGCGTGACAAATTTGAGAGAAAACAGTCCATTCATGGACATTTCTTTGCTCCTAACAGTCTATATGTTTGTGTGGATGTTTGTTGGACCAGTGGATCTTTATCACAATAATACATGTAGAGATGATTTGTTTGAGTGAATATGACGATGGCGTGGCAACGTCATAACGTGAAAAGGAAATGGGCCAAACCCAGCAAACACAATACTGCAACAATGGAGCAACCGACACACGGTCTTCATTTAAAAAGAGTAAAGAACACGGGCAAGGATATCAACACCACTTATCTCAACAGATTTCAACCAACAAACTACACGCAGTCAAAGTCCACTTATGCAACACAGAACTTGCCATTGAGAGCAATTTCACAGCCTTTGCTGTGGTCCCAGTTCATTGATGGTAAACTTCAAAAGGTTTTTTTTGGGCTGACAAAAGGAGGGTTAATTAACAGCTCAGATATATGACAAGGACATCTGGACCATGTCACTGTCTGTCCACCACAAATCACTGCTCCTAAAAGGAGTCACCCGAGGGGTATCACAAAGTAGACCCTTTAACTACAATGACATTTGTCTCACAGTTATCATAGAACAGACATTTACAGAGTTAACTGCTCGATATACACGCTATATTCCATCCAATAAAAGGTCACGAGCTTGAACTTTGTTGTGAAACATCACTTCCTGTTTGCTGGTTTCCGAGTTGTTTTTTATGGCCATACATTGCCAAACATCACGCCACTGCGTAGTCATATTTAAAACCTCAAAATCACTCTATTTAGTAAATTACTCTGTTTCACTGTACTATAATAGTTTGATAATGACTCAGAATAAATGTACTATTTTAAGACTCTTCCGCCATCGTCCCTCTCGTCTGACACCGTGGTTGCTAAGCTAGCTAGCTATCTGACACTGGCTAGCTAACTAGCAGTGCTGTTGGTTTCCTTAAATAAATAAACATACGGGTACTTCAGTATAACATACCTTCCGTCGTGGTATTTAATGGAACTGGCAGGCAGCTGCTGGTTAACATTTGGAGGCAAATAATCAGCGAAAGAGCGCAAATATGTCTCCTGTTTCGCACCATCTTCCTGCACGTCGCCATGTTGTTTGCGTGAGTAACTGAAGGGGCGTGGTTTCCACATGGCCACATAGGAGGATGCGCGTGAGGTCGATGACAAAGTGGGTGCATGTGGTCTGAGTCTGTTGCAATTAGTGACAGTTGCTTGTAACGTTGTGTCCTCCAAATAGATAGATCTTTGTCTAAATGTCTTAATATTGACATTTATATAATTGTTTTCGTGACACTGTCTTTGCTCCTCATTGTTTTGGATTAACAATGAGGACGTTAAACGTTGTTGTTCCACCATAAGAGGATTTATTCAACGATGTATGTGTTGCACTCTGAGGGGCCGGTCTCTGAGCTGGACACATAATGGTGTAAGGTGACCTCGACTTCTTCAAGACCAAGCAGCTTGTCACGGATTTTTACACACGCACGCACACGCACCATTTCACGGCAGCCATTTTGACATAGTGTTGCAGGGTAAGCACAGGTGTAATTAATAACTCTGATTAAGGCCCTAGTATTGTGCATGCTGGCCCGCTGGAGTGGCTGTGACTAAATACAACAGGGCCATAATTAATTTGATCAGTTACACCTGAGACATGTCAACATGGCCTTCAACCTGCAGATACAGGTCACTCCCATTGAAGAGTGAGAGAGCCATGTCAAGCTTTGTGCCTTCCTCCATCAGACTCATTAATGCAGGAGCTCACCTGGGTGCCTGACGCGATTTATTATTTACTAATGGACATTTTTAAGCTCACTTAATCCCACAGGCAGACATCTTTAACTGTTCAAGCTGCACTTGTCCTCTTTTGTATGTAAATTGTACAGCTATTGTGTCTCCTGCCTTAAAACGCTTTTTAAGTTGTCTTCAGCTGTTGCAAATGGCCGTCTTATTTGATCAAAAGCATTTTCACAGAGCTTTAAATAAACATGGGTCGAAATGAGTCCTCACAAGATGCAAGACATGTGACAAAAGAGCATAAACAATCAAACTGGTTCAAGATGTTCTTTATTCATAATTCAAGGAACGACAATACTGTCGAATACACTAAGCATGATTTCCATAACCAGTTGTGGAAGACTACCATTTCCTGTCCCACTGTAATCATAATCTTCATCCTCCCTTAGAGAAGTTCTGTAACTCGTATCCAGAGGAGTGTAACTGTGTGCACGATAGGTCTCCCTCCCTTTGCTCGACCAGGAACAACCGACGGGTCTTTGCCTTTGTAAGACTTCACAGGTGGATTAAACTATGCAAGTCTATCAATAAAATAATTTTTACTATATGTAACAAAAGACATTTTTCACACCAAATGCACAGACACAAAGAAATAAACAAGTGAGACGAAAAACACACAATGTCCATATTGGGGTTTAGTGTCTTTGAGCTAATGACAGCTGCTAACATCAGGGACAACTAACCCTTCCCACTGAATAATATATCAAGACAGACGTAAGAGCTCTCCAGTGCAGGAGTGAGAAAATGAAACGGTTGTATCACCGCTACCACTGCTGAGCGAGGAGTGCTTAAACGGTGCTTTGCAACAGCACCATCTGGTGGTGTAACTACTCAACTCCATGCTAACGGCCCTTTCCCTTTTCATCTGCATTGGAAAGCAGAGACTCAAATTAAAGCATCGTGTACGATTGTAGTGAAAAGACAAAATAGTGAGGCCAACATGATTGCAATCAACGCTACTTTTTCCCCCTCGCAAGCTATTCAAGATAAAACTTTCTGTTAATAGAGTTGTAGTTTTGTTCAGAACTCAGCTCTGTTTGAAAATATGATGATTCCCTTAAAGTGGTCCTTTGAAAAAAGTGGTGGATCGTTGCAAGAACGACTTGACCTGCATTCTGTCTTGGCTCCAGCTGTAGCATGTCTAGGGGACTCTGGGGGGGGGGGGGGGGGGGGGGGGGGGGGGGGGGAAAAAAAGAGAGGGAGTGTGAAGAGTGAAAAAAAAGAATT